GATTGTACACACACACACACACACACAAATAATAAAATAAAAGTTTATAGCCTTTGTGGAAAAAACAGAGAATTATGTTTTTATTGCATACTATTCCTCAGTTATTATAAAAGAGGGTTTTAAACCCCACCTCAGATATCAAGAAAGATTTATTGAAGAACGTAAACTCTTACATGTTAGGAGAATAGCATTTCTCTACAGGATTCCAGACTAAGTTATCTGATAATTTTCTCATGACAGAGCTCCTAGAGATGCTGAGTACAGTATCACAAGCAGAGCTCAGAAAGAAGCAAGGTTACCCTCTCAGGGCCAACCTAAAATACATCGTAGTAAGTGTTTAAGTCAAAGTTTAAAATATAAACTTTACCAAGTGGTACATTTAGCCAACACTAGGCTGCCCTGAAACTCTGTCTCACATACTTTGGGCAGGTTGTCAGAAGGGATGAGTTCTTGAAGGACTTGGAAAGGTGGAAGGCCAGCACAGGAGAGGAAGACCCTAGATGGATGGATTGACAAAGTGACAATGGCACGGGGTCAGGTGTGTGGAAGATGGTGAGGCTGGCTAAGGATAGGGCAAAGGTAAGAGCCATTGTCCATAGTGTCTCTGTGAGTGATAGTCAACTCAGTGGCACATAAAAACAGCAGCATCCTCTGAAAAGATTTTCCAGTCTCAGTAACTGCAAGGTGGAGAGCCCAAAGGAAAAAAAAAAAAAAACCAAACAATCAAACCCAGCACTCTCAGAAAACTAAACTCTCTTGAAAACGAAAATTTAAAAAATTCTGTCCACCAGCACAGAGTTGACCCAGAGACTTAGTCTTGGCCTCTGTCCCAGGTCTTAAGAGTAGAGAAGTGGGTGGCTGCCCTTTCAAAATTTACATAACAGTGTTCAGAAATCCCTAAACTAAAAAATCAGCATAAAGGACGTCAGGCAACAATAACATTTCAGGGCACCTGGCCGAAATAAGAGCGAAATCTATAGAGGCCAAACTCTCAGCGCAAGGTTTTCATAATGAGAAGGAATTCACAATCTAAAGTTTAAAAGCACATGAAGAAGGAATCAACAAAAGTGTCAGCTGGCACAACCAGTACATTAAAATCACTTCTCCCTGAACTCAAGTAAAATAAGTGTACCTGTAATTATTCTTCCAATTTCCTGGGGAAATTGGAAATTGAAAGGAGCTAAGTAACTATGTGAGCCTATATAAGCACAGTGATGAAGTATATGGGTTACTCGCAAATAGCAAGAAATCTGTTTTCTTAAGGTGGATAAAAGTGGAATATACAAGTTGCATGATGGATGCCTTAAGTAAAAAATCCTAAAATTGCTATAGATTGATTTCCCAAACTTACTTTCTATTGCTGGACATTCACATTTAAACACAAGTGTTGGTGTGTAAATGTGTGTTCACACATGCAAACCTACACACATACTTTTACTGGTTAACATTGGGAATTGGCAAAGTAGATGTGAGTCTTAAGCCATAATGGACTATACGGTTCTTGCAAAATTGCCCTTGGCTCTGGCCAGGCAAGACAAAATACTCCAGAGCACAACAAGTTGTCATGCTGAAGCACCACTTGGATTATGGTCACTTGAGGGACCTCAGCTTTCTCCCCTACCTGTCCTTAAGAAACACGAAATGGGACAAAGTAGAGACTGTATCTAGAAAAGATAAAGAGAGGCAGAAATTTTCTTTTAGATTTTCCCTTCTCCTGCTACTTTCTATCGCTCAGTTGCCTTGCAGTTTATTGTCTTCATGATGTTTGATGGGCATCTTAAACTTAGCCCCTGTTGTACCTTAGAAAGTCTACTCTATCCCAAGGATCTCTCTAAGCTACTTCTTTCATGTCACCCCCACAATACATACTTACCTCCAGATCAAATCAGATCTTCTTTCTTGGGGGAAAAATAAAACTACATTTCCTCAAAATGGTACCCCTTTCTACCTCATTCAAGCCAGTTCCCATCTCTGCCAAGTGCCTCTTAAGGGTTGAGACTTCTTAAGCTACGACTAATCTTTCTCACACGATATTTCTGTATCAGCGTCTTTCTTTCCCACATAAGTTATTAAACAGGGAGAACCATAGCCAATAGGGAGCTCTGGTGGCCTAGTGGTAAGAAACTGTTGCTTACCAAAGGCTCACAGTTCAAATCCACGGGCTACTCCATGGGAGAAGGCTAGGCACCCTCCTTTCATGTCATTTATAGCCACTGAAAACCCACTGGAGGGTCAACTATGAGTCAGTTCTGACTCGATGGCACACAACAACAACAACATAGCCAATAGATTTTTAAAACCCAAACTTCACACACAACCCTACCCCCAAAACAACTTTTGGAAAGTGTGAAAGGCAAATACAGGGTAATCAAGACTAGTTTGAGTCATAGTACTTCCTTCCAGAAGGTAGTGAAAATTAATTACCAGGGAAATTATAATGGCCTTGCATATTACTGAGTGCGTATCAAACTAATGACTAAATTCTACTTGACACTTGTGCTTAATCTTGATTATTTGTTGCTCATATAATGTGATTGACTGCTCTCAACTTGAATGCTGTTGTTGGTAGGTGGCATCATGACAACTGTGACTCATAGAGATCCTGTGAGCGACACATCTGAACCTCGCCGTATCCTGTGTCATCCTCACCACCTCTGATATGCTTGAGCCCATTGTTAGAGTTACTGTGTCAATACATCTTGATGAGGGTATTTCTCTCTTTTTCTGGTCCTCCACTTTCCCAGCATGAAGTCTTATTACACAGGGCAGTTCCTTGTGACAATGCCCAATTGTGTGAGACAAAGTTTCACTGTCTTTGCCACAAAGGAGTACACTGGTTACATCCTCCAAGACAGACTTTTATAGCACTGCTGAAAAATGATCGATTATGCTATCAGTAGTGTTTATATAGTTAGAAAGAATATCTTTTTTTAAGTTTTCTTTTTTTAATTAATTTTAATGAAAGTTTACAGAGACTTTGAATTTCCATTCATTCACTGTTGAACACTTTCCTCCCTGCCCACCCTTCCGCCCCAGTTCACTTTTCTCTTTGAAAAGTAAGAAAAAAATTCTTTCATTGTTATACAATCCCTCCTCCCCAGTCCACTCCGCTATGCAGCTTTCATTCTGGACTCCTGCCATGACAATATAATCATATATTCCTTTAAACAATTCTCTCCCTCATCTGTTTCAATGTAGTATACATTATTTATCCCCTCTTTTCTTAGGTTCCCCCCAACCCCAGTGTCAGTCCTGTTTTACAGCAGTGGCACTATACAGTATTTGTCCTTTTGTGACTGAGATGTCTGACTCAGCATAATATCCTCCAGAGTCACCCATTTTGTATAACAATTCCTTGTTTTTCAATACAGCATAGTATTCCATTGTGTGAATATACCACAGCTTCTCTATCCATTCGTTTGTTGATGGGCACTTAGGTTGTTGCCAACTCTTTGCTGCTGTGAATAAAGCCATGATAAACATGGGTATACATTGTGTTCTACTTTTTCAGGAAACACCAAACTGACTTCCAAAGAGTGTTTATACCTTTTACAGTCCAACCAGCAATACCTGAGAGTTTCAATTTCTCTTTGTTCTCTCCAACATTGATTATTTTCTGTCCTGTTAAACTTTGCTACTGCTTTTGGGCTGAGATGATATCTCATTGTTGTTTTGATTTGCATCTCCTTTTTTAAAAAACAAACAAACAGAAAAACAAAAAAACCCAACCACTTTGTCCATTAATGATTCTCCACCACCATCAGGTTTTTTCTCTCTCTTTTTCCCCCACTTGATTTGCATCCCTCTTACTACCAGTGATTTTGAGCATTTCCTCATATGTTGACAGTCTGAATGTCTTCTTTTGAAGAGTCTTTTCATCTCTTTTGCCCATTTTGTTATTGAGTTATCAGTCTTTACCCATCATTGAACTAATGAATTAAAAAATTGTAGTTCATTTATATAATGTAATACTATGCAGCACAAAGGAACAGTGTCTTAAAATACTCTATGACATGGGAGAGTCTAGAGAGCATTATGCTGAGTGCAATAACTCAGTCTCATTAGAACAATACTGCATAAGACCATTATTGTGAAAATAGGATAACTTAGCAAGATGTGTATAATTGCTCTAAAGGGGAAGAGGAAAGGGGGAAATCACTAGGATAGCAGAGGTTCATGAGCAGGTGGGGTAGGGAGGAATAGGAGAGATTCAATGAGGACTTGAAAAGACAGAGTGATAAAGGCATGAACCCATAGTAATTTTATAAAATAACAGCATATATCAAAGATTGTGTAAGAGGCAGTGTATATAAATGAAACATAACATAAAGGAAAGATTGTATAAAACACAGTATATATGCATGAAATACAATGTATATGAATGATTACATGCAAACAATTAAAAAAATAAAATATTTTAAAATGTAATGTCTGACATTATGAGCCAGAAATTTGTGTCTCTTTGAAATGGGATTAAAAAGCTACCAACTCTGAGGGAAATAGGAAGAAACTATTCTGGAAAACAACATATTGAAATTTTATAAATAAACTAGTATGGTAATATTTTTTTTTAAAAAAAAAGCTACTGACTCATTCTCATTATAAATCATAGACTTCTTAGATTTGATGACTAAATTAGAAAAAATATTCTAATACTTTACAAAGTTAGTGTTATACAGTGTCAGTGTTTCTATCATTAACTGGACACGCAATCTGGTACATTTTAACTCCTTAAAACAACTCTTACCTTTGACTTATTTGTAGATCTGATTATTTTGCTGCTGTAGCTGCTATGTTTCATAAATTGCCTTTCTGCATTCCCCTAGTCTCCCCTGCAGAGAGTTTGATTGGTCATATTTCCATGAGGTTCCATTGACTCAATTGTATCTGATAAACTTATGGAACTTTGATATATCAGATGTCTTAGATGCCAGAATATAACTTATGTACTTTCTTACTTTTGTTATTTTGACTTCTAAAATCTATACTTTCTTTTCTAGGACAATGAAGGTCAAACAGCTCTACATTATGGTAAGATTTTTCTAATTAGTAATCGTTTTTTAACAAATTTAAAATTTTTCTTTGTCTAACTTTGTCTAACATTGTAGTCACTGTGCCTACCTAGGGAGATGCCTTGCAGCTAAGAGAGAGATACAATAGGTTTTTCTTTTTCTAAATAAGGGGGCGGGGAATGTATGTAAACAGGAAGCTCTGGTGACCTAGTGGGTGAGAAGCAGTGCTGCCAACCCAAATGCAGGTGGTTTGGATCCACCAGCTTCCCTGAGGGAGAAAGATAGGCAATCTCCTCCAATACAGTTTACAGCCTCTGAAAACCTAGCAGGCGGTCAGATATGAATCACATTCATGGTAAATTAAGCATTTCTGTATTTTTGACAGTGATAGAGGCCCCTCCAGCCCTCTCCCCTTTAAAAATGTATTCTTTTATTCTTGGTACTATAATTGACACATGTGATGCTAATCATTGTCAGCTAAGGACCTAGAATCTCTCCTATGAAAAATACTTTAAGCTGGATAATTAATGTTGAAATATCACCAAGTGCAAGCCCTGACTTATTTATTAATGTAATTAGTATAGCTTATGTACCAAAATCATCAGAAGAAAGGACAAATTATGAGTCATCCTTACTTTCGAATAAATGAAAAATTTACAGATGAAATACTAGCAGATGAAACCCAGCAATGTATTTTTAAAAGGAAGATATTACATGACCAAGTTGGGTGTGTCCCACATATTCAAGAATGACTTAAAATTTTTATTAGGGTAATTTTCCACAGTAGCAATTTGGATGAAAAACCATAAGATCAGATCAAATGGCACAAAATCATTTCATTAAATACAGTATGCATTCTAAGCAGTGGCACAGAAAAAGTGATAAACAACACCCCTTGTTTAAAAGGGGTAAACAACACACTTGTTATTTAAACTCTAATATGCCTTTGACTTTGGGCAGATTCTTTAACTACTTACTGCGCCTCACATTACTTAGACCCAAAGATTTGATGTGACTATATAATGAGTTAATCTGTATAATGTACTTAGAGCAATGTATTGTGCCTGATGTATACTTTCTAAATGTTTTCCAGTATTATTATTTATGATTAAAATCCTTCAACTAGGAAGGAAATGTCCATAACCTGGTGAAGAATAAACATTATTATTAAAGATGAACTACTTGAAGTAGTCTCATTAAGGTGCAAGGAAAGGATGCCTGTCATAACCTTGTATTTAGTATTTTCACTATAAATCAAACATGCACATACAAAAAGGCAAGAGATGTAAAAGGTGCATGGAATGAACGGAAAGAAACAAAATTACTATTGTCAAACAGCATAATTAGCTACACAGAGACTCAATGTATTAAGGTATATTAAGCTATACAAGCTTGGAAGCAGGAGTGGCATCCACTTCCGAAATAGCTTACCTCCAGAAAGCCTGTGAACCTGTAGAAACTGTGAAAGTTATACAAATGTTCAGGTCTTTTGTTCATAGGGTCACTATGCGTCGTCTATGACTTAACGACACTTAACAACAACAACAATATGGTTTTAGAATTATACTTGTTGAATATAGAAGCTGAGGAAAATGAAAAGAAGCCCACATGAGCCAAAACACAATCTTGAGTAAATCTCACTTGAATTTAGAAGCCATCTTAGAAGAGATTTGGTGCATTGAACACTAATGACCAGTGACTAACGATCAGATGAGTTGTGGGATGACATTAAGGACATCTTCCAGAATGAGAGCACAAGATTAGAAATACAGGAAAGAGATTCTCAAACTTCCTCTTTTTTTATTAACATTGTTATCATTCATACACATTGTGGTGAGCTGCCTCTTGAAAATAGAGAGGCTATGGTAGTAGTAACAGTGACATGTTGTTGTTGTTGTTGTTGTTGTTGTTGTTGTTGTTGTTGTGTGTACCACCGAGTCAGAAGTGGCCCTTAGCTGACCCCCTGTCAGGTTTTCAGAGGTAGTTAACATGTTGCTGCAAATGATGGTAATACATCGAAGAAGAAAAAAAAGTGTTTCTAAACACGGTCATTAATCACACGGGAGGAAATTGCCCATCCTTCTCCCACGTGCATTGTTGGATTCAAATCAAACCACATGCCTTCAGTATTGGAGTGCAGCTTCTTACCACTAGGCCACCAAAGCTCCCTTGGACTACTTATTTTTACACATGACCTTTTTTTCTTTTAAAACTTTTACATTATGATCTTTATTAAATACATTAAAACCTAAACTCCACCTTAAAATTATGAAGTCAACACAAACACTACAATAGAGTGAATGTTAAATCACATGGCCAAGAGGCAATGGGATAAAATAAACCTTGTTATGATTTTAGTAGAAATTATGTTCCATGAAAATCTGATACCCTGATAAAAAGTAGTATTAGAATCTGAAACAGAACCATATTTAAATCAAAGGAAAATGCAAAAATGTTATCAGTTTGTTGTGGCAGTTAGAGGAATCCATGCATAAAAAAGGTGACACAGTTACAAATCAATCTGACATGCTTCAATTCTACTGGCAAAATTTCCTTACCAGCTGTATGACCACTGGTGAAAGATGAAGACTACTATAGATCTCTGGAAACACAGGATCATGATCCCTGCAAGCAAATTAACTATCGCTATCATGATAAAAACTATCGCTAAACATGATAAAAAAAATAAGGTCAACTCCTACTAGTCCACTCTCCATGCTGGTAGGATCTACACATTATTCACTTTTGTATCCACAGTGCCAGCTACCCAGTTTATAACTACTAAATAAAACTCAAGAAAACTTCTGAAGATGTATACTTGTAGAAGACTATCATTCCTAGAAGTTGTTACCCCTGTAAATCAACAAATGCACTTTTTTAGTCAAAAATAAACTTGTTGCCACCGAGTTGATTACAACTCAAAATTACCCTCTAAGACAGGTTAGAACTTCCTCAAAGGCTTACCCAGGCTGTAAGAAGCAGACTGCCACTTCATTCTCCTATGGCATGCTAGTGGGTTTGAACTGCCATCCTTTCGGTTAGCAGTCAAGTACTTTAAGTACCATGCCACCAGGACTCCTTCCTCTTGCTTAAATGTACCAGCTACCTCCCCATAACAACAAAAACCAACAGCAACCTTGATGATACATATTTGAGCACCAGTCAGTGCCCTTTTCTTGTTGATCAAGGATGTGTGATACAGTTGCTGTCATACAGAGCAGTATCTGCAAGATCTTTGGAAGAAATGCACTGATCAGACAGCTGATATTCTTCAGCACACCCTCAGGGCTGTTCAAGATACCATGCTGTTGACCCAAAGGAAGAATTTCGGACAAATCCAAACCTTCTACTGCTGGACTCCCTCCATTCTTGAAGTACTTCATAGATCACTGAAATAGAATTGAGATCTCAGATATAAATCCATCCACTCATGCACAGCTGATGTTTGACAGTAAAAGTAAATGGGGCGAGGGTGGGTGTAGAAAGGAGGAGGGAATACACAAGTGTTCCTATAATATTACACACAAAAAAATAAAAAATTTGTTCAGTGCTTACCGATTTCAGGAGGTTAGCTATGATCAAGAATCAATGGTACTGAAGGGGAAAATTCAAGCTGTACAGAAGACGTTGACAAAAAACAAGGCTCCAGGAAGTACCAGATTGCCAATTTAAATGCTTCAGTGGATACAGCCCTAGAGGGTCTCACTGGTTTGTACCAAGAAATTTGGAAGACCGTTTCCAGGCCAATCAACTTGAAAGAGATCCATATTTGCGCCAATTCAAAAGAAGGATGATCCAAGCAATTGTGGAAGTTATTGAGCAATATCATTAATAACACATGGAAGTTAAAATTTTCAGGAGAAAATTCCAAAGTAACTGGAGCAGTATGTTAATAAGGAATAGCCTGTTCAATCTGGATGCAGAAGAAGATGTAGAATGAGGGATATGTTGCTGAGGTCAGGTGGATCCTGGCTGAAAGCGGAAAATACCAGAATGATATTAACTTCTATCTTAGTGATTACACAAAGACATTTGACTGTGTGGATCATAACAATTAATAGACAACATTGTGAAGAATAGAAATTCCAAAACAGCTGTGCTCATGCAGAATCTGTACATAGACCATAAGCAATCATTCTGACAGAACAGAAAGATACCACGTGATTTAATAGCAAGAAAGGTTTAATATCAGAGTTGTATCCTCTCACCATACCTATTCAATCTGTAGGGAGCTATGATAGAGCATAGTGGTAAGGAGCTGTGCTTCAGTTCCAAAGGCTCGCAATTTGAACCCACCAGCTGCTCCATGGGAGGAAGATAGGAAGTTTCTTCCCATGCACTAACGGCCTCTGAAAACCCATTGGAGGGTCAGCTATGGGTCAGTTCTGACTGCAACAAGCGACATTCAATCTGTAGGAATCTCTGGTGGCTTAGTGGTTACGAGTTGTGCTGCCAACCCAAAGCAGGTGGTTCAAATCCGCCAGCTGCTCCATGGGAGAAAGATGAGAACGCTCCTTCCGTGTGATTTACTGCCTCTTCAAGACCCACCAGAGGGTCAGCCACGAGTCAGTTCCATTTCAATAGTTCACAACAAGCAGTATATGGTAGAACTATAACCATATAGTAGAGTAGTATGAATTCTACTATCTAGAATTTCATCTGTTAGAATAGAACTATATGGGGGTGAGGGGAAGTACATTGAGATTGGAGAGAAAGACTCATTAACAACTTCTGCTATACAGATGATACAACCTTGGTTATTGATAAAATCAGTCCTCTAAATTAAACCAATAAGTAACATCACTTAAAAGAAGATTGAAGTTGCAGAGTATTTCTTTTTAGCTGGGCCCACAATCAGTACCCATGTAAATAACAATCAAGAAATCAAACAACCTGTTGCAATGTGTCAGTCTGCTGTAAAGGACTCTTTTAAAGAGCTAAAGACCTAGGATGTCAGTTCAGGATCTGACAAGCCATGGTATTTTCAGTTGCTTCATATGGATGTGAACGTTGGACAGT